ATACAAAATTTGAAATAGTATATTTTTAATCCCTTATTATTTTGGAAGAAAAATTAGACTATTTGGCACAACCAGTGTAGAAGAGATTACAAATAATGTATCATAAAAATGAAATCAAGGAAAATCTAAATATTTTAAACGCAAAAACATTGATAATAAACATAAAATTCAATACAAATTTTAAAAATATGGTATTTGAATATATATTAAAACAAGACCCGCGTATACACGCAGGTTCTTTCCTAGTAATATGTAAAGCACAAATCCCCTATAAATAGAAAGAAACACACCCCAGTACTGTCCTATATCAGTTCTCACAATTTTATAACTTTTATAATATTTTTCTATTATCCAACTAATAGTGTATTAACTTTGTTTTTTGTTATCATCTCACTTTTGTAGGTTTAGATTCAAACAGAATCTTGAATCCATATATGTCTCGGATAATCATGTGTCTTGATTCCAAACTCTCAGTTAATTGGCTCCCTATTGCTTTTTTTTGTTGTTGTTGTGAATAAGCTTATTTTTCACAAACTATTGCTGCTACATCTAATGAATCGAGCTCTCCATCAAAACTGGCAGACATGCATATATGAAATATGGAAGGAGAGGAATAAGCGGTTTCGTAATGGTAACACTGCCACCTCATTTAGTTTCGAAACTAATCTTCTATCAAACACAGATCGACAGGTTCACATATCTCTTATATTTTCCTCTCTTTCCCCTTTTCTTATGTAATCATTTGTGGTATGTGCAAATGTATTTTGTCCCCCTCTTTCTAGCTGATCTTTTACCTATAATGGTGGTTGGTCCTTATTTGAGCCCCCTTTACAAAAAATGTCCATATATATGTTATATGCTATATGTATTTATAAGAGGTCCCCTCAAACCATATGAAATATATATATATATATTACCATTTTCTTATTTTTAAATCTTCCAACTTTCTTAATATTTTAGTTTTATTTATGAATACTATATTGTTAAAAATGATTATCCATCTCTTTGAGCTCACAACTCGTGGTGAATTTTTTTTCAGTTTTCTTATAAACATTGTTTACAATAAAAAAAGCTCATATTAAAATTTTGTTTCAAAAATATTAATTCATTAAAAGTACATAATTGTTTTTTTAGGGCAATCAATTCATAGCCCTTGCTCGGTTCATCTCGGTCGTCCTCAGGCAGTCTGCAATCGACTGTTTAAGTTCTCGAACTTTCTAGTCCACCACCCTGAGTTTCTAACGTTGATCTCCACGGAATGGCTGCCTCTTCAGTTCGCTGGCATCAAAATGTACTCCTTGATCAAGAAGCTTAAGTACTTGAAAGGTGTTATCAAGAGCTTCAACCGTGTTCATTTTTCAAATATTGAGCAGCGAGTGAAGGAGGCTTTTGACGCTCTCTGCGATCATCAACGCACTATTTTAACTGACCCATCTCCCTCTGCTGCTCAACAAGAGTCTGTCGCCTATGCTCGTTGGTCTGAACTTGCGGTTGCTGAGGAGAGATTTCTGCGGCAACGATCTCGTGTCACTGCTTGTTGGAGGTGAAAACCGCACCCCGGTTTTCTCCGGTAAAAACCGAGATCAGCATAACATAAGCCCGGTTTACGAAGAGATGTACCGGAGAAAGATGGGCCGAGCGAAACACTGGGCCGAACGCAGCCCATTAGGCCAAGGTCGGTGAGAAGTCTCTCGAAGGAATGGAGGGTTTCCCTGAGCTCGGTCGAAATAGGAAGGTTTCCTAACGGAAAAAAGAAACCTTAGAGAAAAAAGGAAAGGAACCGAGAGAAAAGGAAAGTACTCTCGGTCCCATATCGTCTGAGGCGTGCTTGAAGACCGACTTAGAGGATATATATAAAGGGAGATGAATCGACACCAGAGAACATAAGAGATTCCCGAGAAGACTTAAAGACTGAGAACTCAATACGCTAGCTTCTGAGTCGTCTTAAGTCTTAGTTCGTTATTATCTATCTGAATAACCGAACTCAGTTGTATTTTACTTGATTCAATCTAATAAAAACCGAGTTTCCGATCTAAAAGTACTGTTTGTCCCTTGTCGATATTTACTTATCAACAATTGGCGCGCCAAGTAGGGGAACTTAAACAGATTTCTCAAGTTTTAGATCGGACTTCGGAAAGATTGAATCAGCGATGGCAGACCAAGCCAACATTCACGAAGAAGGAAACCCTCTCGGTGGAGAGAACGCTAACGCCCCAACAGAACAAGGAGGAGGAACTCTTGGAGAAAACGCTGGAACTGTAGCCGGCCAAACCCCCGCAGCCGTAGGAGGTTATGGAACCGAACTACTGCTCCAAGTGTTCAATGCCCAGTTTGAGGCCATCAACAAAAGAAGCGAGGAGCGCTTCAGTCAGATGGCGGCACAAATCGCCGAGCTCAGTCAAGCACGAACTCCTCTTCGAGTTCGGAACATCATTGACGATCTTAATACCGATGGAGATCCAGCGAATGCACCAGCATCGGATTTAAGCCGAGACGCCGAGTTCGAAGCAATGAAGGCGCAGCTTCGCGATATCACTTCAAAGATACATCAAGCAACAAGCGCGGCTCCGGAAATCGAGCGCATCATTCAGGAAACGCAGAAAACACCCTTCACACCGCGCATAGCAGGGACGCCGGTCAAACACATGGAGAAACTGAAGATAAAAGTCTACGAGGGCAATTCCGACCCCCGACACTTCTTGACATCGTTCGGCATCTGCATGAACCGATACCAGTTCAAATCAGCCGAAGAGAGAGACGCAGTTCAGTGTCAACTATTTGTGGAAAGCTTGGGATGAGTAGCTCTCGACTGGTTCTCGCGACTCGAAGCCAATTCAATCGATAACTACAAGGAGTTAACGACGGCTTTCGTCAAACACTTTTCCATGTTCATTGGACAGAACACCAAGAACTCCGAGCTCTGGCAAATAGCCCAAGGACCAAGCGAGAGCCTTCGTGATTTCATCCAGCGCTTCAAGACGATCGTCGCTAATTGTACGATTAGCGATGAAGCCGCTCTCCTATGTCTTCAGAAAGGAGCTCGGATAAAGACTAGCTTCCGGAGCGCGATCACTCATAACCCTCCACAGACACTAGAAGACGCATTGCACCGAGCTAATACCTACATCGCCGAAGAGGAAGAAGAAGCCGCTTACGAGCAGAGTTATTCAACGAAGCAACCCGAACGTCCGAAAACCGCAACCAATGAGCCGCAATCGGGATACGGTCGAGGGTATGAGAATCGCAAGAAGTTCTATGCTAATGCAATCCAACAACCGAACAAACAATGGAACAATAAGTGGGTCCGCGGTGAAGAAGATCAAGACGAATCATTGTTCTGCGAGTTCCATAACCGTAGGGGCCACAGCACCGAAGAATGCATACATCTGCGAGAATACCTACTCGGCCTATATCGAAAGGAACCGATCTCGGTCGACGATCTCCGACGTTCGAATGCGTCTAAGAGCGGCGGGCAGCTTTCGATTGACGATCTCCGTCGTTCACATATGCCTCGACCAAACAATGAACAGCTTGAGAAAGCACTCGCCAAAGATCCACCAACTCCACCGGCTTTACCGACGCTACCACCGCCACCACCGAATCCGCCTGTTTCGCCCGAGCAACAGAAACGGAATCGTGATGACCGAGCACCAGAGAATCACGCTCCTAAGGCGCGGAAACGTGTCAACATGATAATGGGGGCAATCGAAGCTTGCAGTTATTCGGTTCGAGCCATCAAAGAGTACAGCAGACAGGCCGCCAGCGCGCCCAAAGCCCCGCAGGATCCGCCGAAGGGAACACCCTTGGTTTTTACCGAGGCCGATACAATCGGGCTGCATAAACCACATAACGACGCCCTCGTTGTCGAGCTGCTCCTCGACGACGTCGAAGTTAGCCGCCTGGTCGATACGGGCAGCTCGGTTAACATTATCTTCAAGGAAGCACTTGACCAGCTCGAGTTGGCATCAGATAGGATTGAGCCGTTTATCGAACCACTTACTGGATTCGATGGAGAACGTTGTATGACGGTCGGCATGGTCAACATTCCAATCTACCTCGGCGGAGTCGCAAAGATTATCCAGTTCCTTATCCTCGATAAACCGGCGATCTACAACGCTATTCTCGGAACACCTTGGCTACACGCGATGAAAGCAGTCGCCTCGACGTACCATCAATGCCTAAAGTTCCCGACTCCCGACGGTGTTTACACTTTCTGAGGAAACCAAGCCGTTACTCGATCGTGCTACATAAACGAGTGCAGACTTCATTTGGCCAACCAAGCTTGTGTCATTAGCTCGTTAGGACCAACTGACAAGCTCATCGTCCAGAATACAAAACCTAAACAGGAGTCGATCGTTCAAGTTTTCATCTACAAACTAAGGCCAGAACGTCAAGTCGGAATCGGCGCCGAGCTCGACCCAGTCATCCGCGAGCCACTCATTCACTTACTGAAACAGCATTCATCAACCTTCGCTTGGTCGGTAGAAGATATGCCCGGGACTGATCCACAGATCGCGTGTCACGAGCTCAACATTGATCCAACGTATAAGCCAATCAAGCAGAAATGCCGAAAGCTCGGACCAGAGAAAGCACAAGCCGTGAACGATGAGGTCGAGCGTTTACTCAAAGCCGGATCCATCACCGAAGTCAAATACCCAGATTGGTTAGCAAACCCCGTGGTCGTAAAGAAGAAGAATGGTAAATGGAGGATCTGCATCGACTTTACCGACCTCAATAAGGCGTGTCCGAAAGATAGCTTTCCGTTGCCTCATATCGACCGCCTCGTGGAAGCAACTGCCGGGAACGAACTACTCTCGTTTATGGACGCGTTCTCCGGGTACAATCAGATTCTTATGCACCCGTAAGATCGGGAGAAGACATCGTTCATCACGGACCGTGGCATTTACTGTTACAAGGTCATGCCCTTTGGCCTGAAGAATGCTGGAGCAACGTACCAACGACTGGTAAACCGGATGTTCGCGAGCCAGCTCGGGCGAACTATGGAAGTTTACATCGATGATATGCTCGTGAAGTCACTCATCGCTTCCGATCACGTCGGCCATCTTCGCACATGTTTTGATATCTTGGATCAGTACGGTATGAAGCTTAATCCAACTAAGTGTACGTTCGGCGTGACATCTGGAGAGTGCACATGTTTTGAGGCATTGAAGCTAATCCAAAGCAGATCGCCGCTATTCTTGAGCTCCCGTCACCGACAACCAAACGTGAAGTTCAGCGACTTACCGGACGTATCGCAGCACTTAATCGATTCATATCCAGATCGACGGATAAGTGCTTGCCTTTCTACCAACTTCTTCGCGGTAACAAGCATCTCGAATGGAATGAGAAGTGTGAAAAAGCCTTCGCCGAGCTAAAGAAATACTTGTCCACTCCGCCAGTTTTATCCAAACCAGAAACCGGCGAGACACTTTATCTTTACATCGCGATTTCGGAGTTCGCAGTCAGCAGTGTTCTTGTTTGAGAAGATCGCAGCGAGCAGAAGCCAATTTTCTACACAAACAAATCCCTCGATGGATCGGAGTATCGTTATCCGACTTTGGAGAAATTCGCCTTTGCCGTGGTCATTTCTGCACGGAAGCTACGCCCGTACTTCCAGTCTCACGCGATCGTGGTCCTAACCGATCACCCTCTTCGTACTTTCCTCCATAGCCCAAGTCAGTCCGGACGACACGCTAAGTGGGCTATCGAACTCAGTGAATATGACATCGAATACCGAGGCAGAACGGCAACGAAGTCTCAAGTCCTAGCAGATTTCTTGGTCGAACTCCCACCGGAGCTCGTCGAATATAATCTGGTCGTACAACCCTGGATTCTTCACGCTGATGGTTCATCATCCCATAAAGGATTCGGAGTCAGAATTCGTCTCAAATCACCCGAAGGAGAAGTTATCGAGCAGTCATTTCGACTCGGCTTCCCGGCATCCAACAACGAAGCCGAGTACGAAGCATTGATCGCCGGATTACGACTCGCCAAAGGCATCGGCGCCGAGCACGTACACGCCTACTGCGACTCCCAACTCGTGGCTAACCATTTTCACGGCGAATACGAGGCCAAGAACGACCGCATGGACGCATATCTCAAAGTTCTTAAGGATATTGCTTTGGAGCTCTCTACCTTCGAGCTTACGAAGATACCTCGAGACGAGAATGCAACCGCTGACGCCTTGGCCGCTCTCGCGACTAATTCCGATCCTGATCTTCGGCGAACTATCCCAATTGCAGCAATCGAGCGACCAAGTATCGAGCACGCTCCGAACTGCAACATCATTACGAGACGACGCGATTACGAAGCCCAACCCAACCTTGCTCCGCCCCTCACCCGAAAGACGAAACCTAAAGAGGTCATCCCCGATCATAACGACGACACGGACGAGCTCAATGACAACAAATCCGAGCCTGAGGACGAATCCGAAGGCCAGCATGTCCCAATCGATATCGAAGCCGAAGGAGAGGACGAACCCGAAGATTGGACCTTAGAAATTGTGGGATACATTGGAGATGGAACAGTCCCCGCAGATAAATGGGCAGCTCGACGCCTAAAGGCTCGTGCAGCTCGATACGTGGTCATTACGGGTACTCTCCTCAGATGGGATGCGTCCGGAGTACTCTTGACATGCGTTTTACGGCAATGACATCACGGAAGTAATGCAAAAGGTCCATGAAGGAGAAGGAGGAAATCATTCTGGAGCTCGGTCTTTGGCCTTTAAGATCAAGAAAGCTGGCTATTACTGGCCTACTATGCTCTCCGATTGCGAGAAGTATACGACACGCTGCGAGAAGTGCCAACGTCATGGTCCAATGATCAATCTTCCTACCGAGCTCCTGATGACCTCGACCGCACCATATCCTTTCATGCGCTGGGCAATGGACATCATCGGTCCTTTTCGCCGATCTACAACTCAGAAGCAATATGTTCTGGTCGTCACGGATTACTTCACCAAATGGGTCGAAGCCGAAGCATACCCCGAGATTCATAGAATTGATGTCAAGAAGTTCGTCTGGAAATTCATCATCTGCCGACACGGAGTCCCGTACGAGATCGTTACGGACAACGGAACCCAGTTCACTTCGATCATTTTCCAAGATTTTTGTGCCAAGTGGAAAATCCGACTAAGTTTCTCTACCCCGCGGTACCCGCAAGGAAACGGACAAGCCAAAGCCACAAACAAGACCATAATTGACGGACTAAAGAAACGACTCGACACCGCTAAGGGAACTTGGGCAGACGAACTTGACGGTGTCTTGTGGTTTCACCGAACTACACCACGACGTTCGACCGGTCAGTCACCATTCTTCCTTGCATATGGCACAGAAGCTATGTGTCCAGCCGAACTCAACGTCCCAAGTATTCGCTGAACTATGCTTACCCAGCAACCCGACGCGAATGACAACATGATGATCGACGCACTCGACTTAGTCGAAGAACATCGCGAACGAGCATTGCTCCGGATACAGAACTACCAACAACTAGCAGCTCGCTACTACAACAAAAAAGTTAAGGGCCGTCACTTTGAAGATGGCGATCTCGTACTTCGCAAAGTCTATCAAAACACAGAAGAGAAGAACGCAGGAAAACTTGGCGCGAACTGGGAAGGACCGTATCAGGTTATGAAAGTCGTTAAACCCGGCGTTTATCAACTTATGAAGTTAGACGGAACTCCGATCCCGCGATCTTAGAACTCAATGCATCTTAAACGATACTACTACTAGTTCGTTGCGAGCTCAAAGCAACAAAAAAAAAAAAAAAGCCTCCGAACTACTTAGTCGGAGCAAAAAAAAAAAGGCTTGATCCCTTCAAAGGGTACGTAGGCAGCTCGTTACCGAGTCCAGCTATAACATCAATAAAATTTTATTAAGTCAAATCTGTCTTAAGTTCTAGTTCGGAAATCACAAGGGACCGAACTCCTTGTTTTTACATCGACTTCCTGGCCAGTTGTTCGATAGCATTCCACATGAATGCAAACTTAAAAGCCGAGATCCGTCTCGCAAGCACCCACATGGTGTCATGGTTAAGCCACATATCAAAAGCCGGGCCCAGTCCTGCAGTTGAATTTCTAAGTCACCAAGAACAATAAGCCGAGCACATCTCGCATACTTAGGTTCGACTTAGTTCACTCTTCCAGTACGAAACGATTCACTTGGGTTCCCCAGGCCGAGCTTGAACGCTCGCACAATAAGCCGAACTCCTCAGATTCGCACCATAAGCCGAGTTCACAACACTCGCAAAACGTAAGCCGAATTATCGCGATTCGCTATCGAAAGATAAAAATTATATTCAGACATCATCTGGTATATTCCGGTCTAGTATTTGAAAGATTTTTCTAAGTTACCGACGAAAGAAAAATCGAAAATTCAAATTAAGAGCCTCCCGAGAGGCAAATAAGTTCAAAAGCCCACCAAGGGCTCGGAAATAAAGTGTTACAAGCAAAATAACCCATGAAAGGGCAAATAAGTTCGAGAGTAAGAAAGAACAAAAAAAGATTAAGCGGTCTTCGAGGTCGCGGCTTGATCGGCGTTGAGCATATCCTCGTTTGAACCGAACTGTTCGCCTACCATTGGATCCTGAGCGCTTTGGGTTACATTCGCGACCGGCACGTCATCCTCTTCAACGAAAGGAGACATCCGCTTGTCCTCTTCAGTAAGGACGCAAGCATCGATCGAACGGAACTCCTCCAGGGCCTTGGTGTGCTTCGCCTCGATGTCCGCTACCATCTCGGGTGGAACCTCGTACAAGCCCTTCTTTTTGAGCTGCTTGATAAAACCGAGGACTCCGGTGAGCTGGTTGTAGACTAGGTACGGCTTACGAGCTCGGTCAGCATCATCCAAGCTCCGGATGACCTTCTCTAAACGCTCGCAGGCCTTTGCATGAACGCTCTTGGCCTGAGCCTTCCAATGTGCCACCATGTCCTGCAGCCGCCCCTTATCCTTTTCAAACTCCCTAGAGAGCAAGCTCTGAGCCTCGGTGAGCTCGGCCTTCACCGCCTTCAGCTCTGCACTCTCCTGTTTCAGCAAGTCAACTGAAGAGTTGTAGAGTTTTGTTGATTTGAAGCTCGGTGGCGAGACGCTCCTCCGCCTTGGCAACCCTTTCCTCGAGCTCGGAGACCCTTACTTGCTCGTCAAATAGAGCTACCTCGTATGCGGCGACCAGATTGTTGGTCTGGCTAGCGAGCTGCATAAAAGAAGATCGAATCAGAACTCGCACTTGGGAAAGTTGTTGAATTGAGAAATGAAATCAAGAAATTACCACTGCAGTTATACGGGCGATCCCCTTGTACATGTTTGGGAACCGGAGTTCGGGGACCGACGGGAGGCTCGGGACCTGGGAAGAGATCTTATGGTAGAGCTCGGCGCAGGCATCAACGTTCTCCTCGAAAGGAGTCTCTTCGTCGTAGTCGAAGCAGACCTTCGCCCTCTTCGCTGGTTCTGGCCCAGGAGAACCTTTGGAACGATCTCCGGCTTGTCTCTTTCGAGAGTGGGAAGCCTCAGCTCGGTCTTGGGAGAGAGCGAGGTCTGACGCCACGGTCATCGGCACTTCGAGTTCAGCAGGAGCGTCCTGTGCCCGAGAAGAGTCTTCTACCTTTTTAATCTTTTTAGAAGACTTCTTCTTCTTCGTCTTCTTCTGACCAGCTTGGTCAGGTGAGTTCGCAGCAGGAAGCATCTCCTCTGGCTGCTTATTAGTCCCTTCGGCAGCAGGGACAGGGGTCGGATCTGCCACGTCTGGCTCCTCTGCGTCAAAGAGAGTCGGGATCTCGTCTATTGAGAGCATCCTGGCGGTTCGGGTGCGTTGAGCTCGCGACTTCGGTGCTTTGCGTTTATGAGCGGCTCGAGGCTTGCTAGCTCGAGTTTTTGGCTTCCACGGTTTTGGTTCGCGAACAGAACCTGCAATGAAAATCTGTCAAAAGAGGATATCGGAGTAAATAAAGAAGTAGAACGAGTAAAGACAGAATTTAATAAACGAACCTGCTTTCTTAGCTCGGCGCTGAAGAATTTCTTCCCAAACCTCAGGCCAACGACGCTTACCGGCTTCACTGAAGGCTTCTTCGAACTCAGAGGTAAGTCTGGAGTTAAGGATAATGCTCGGGAGATGACGACCTGCCAAAGATGGAACAAAAGAAAGTTAGTCAAATACAAAGTCAAAAATTAGTAGAAGTATAAGCTCGTCTAGTTCACCGATCGGAATCTTCCACTCCGATTGAGTTGGGATGTCAGAGTTGTTGACGGTGAGATCGTTCATCTCCAGATAAAAGTAGAGAGATTCCCAGTCGTTGAATTTACTGGGCTTCGGTCCAGTAACGATGTTCTTCTTCGGCTTAGCGTTCGCAGCAAAGAACCACTCCTTAGATTTGTGGATGTTAACCGAGAAAAGGTCCTCAAAAAGCCGACTGGTTGGAGTCTTGCCGAGCTCGTTACAAAGAGATACGAACCCTACGTAGTTCGTTATCGAAGCTGGCATCACCTGCGTGAGAGCAACGCCACGACGATTGCAGTAGCCGAGCAGGCGAGAAGGAATTGGGAAGGAGAGCCCGCACTGCATAACATACGTCAGATAGATGCAGAGGAAGCCCTCGGGGACGTCCCATGGCCAATCTCCAGCACGGCACGAACGGCGCCAGGAGAAACAGAAGAAGAAGGTACGGTGTGGGGGCGAACGACCTTTCGTTTCGGAAGAGGTGGTGAAGCGTGAATTATTGCTTCGAGATCGTCTTCGGCACCTCTTGTTTCAGTGACGTTCTCCTCGTCATTGTTTTCCTCAATTTTCTCGACCCCTTCAATCTCTTCGATCTCCTCAATCCCGTGATCGACGTTATCGGTGTCCGGCCCAGCGCGAGCATCCGTCTCACGAGCTTCCGGTTGTTCGGTCGCTTCGACTCGTGGTCGAGAACGGCTACTACTGGCACCAGCCGATTTTGAGTTTTTTCGGACTAACTGTGGAGGGCTATTCTCTTCTTGAGACGAGTTCGATAGATGAGAATTTGAAGAGGAAGAGCTCGGTTCTGAGGATTCGCGACGATCTTCCAAAAGGATTTGGTTAGAAGAGGAGTTAGCTGAAGAGCTGGAAGACATTTTCGAGTTCGGAAAAGTAGATCTAAAGGGAATCTGGGAGAAATGAAGAACAGTATGAAGATTAACCGGAAAAGATTGAAGATTGATCGGAGAACTTGAAGATCGAACGGAAAACTCGAAGATAGCTCGGAAAAATCAAGGATTCACGGCGGCGAGAGTTGAAGAAACGAGAGAAAACTAAGAACAAAAACTAGAGAGAGAAATGAAATCTAGAGAGAAGGGAGAGCAGCGTACCTTATATATGCTTGAGGCGAGAATAATGAATGCGAGAAAAAGTTTGCCCTTTATACACAGTGGGAATCGTGGGTTCTTCGATTTTCGCGAGGATCCCGTAATTCACGCGCCTCATTGAAGACAGGGTGCGAAACGTCCGGGAATGCGAATCGATTGCAGTTACCGATCTCAGTTTGTGACTTACTTTGAGAAAAACAAGTTTGACTGAAATTCTCTTCCTTTCACCGAACTGAGGGGGGGGCTAACTGTTGGAGGTGAAAACCGCACCCCGATTTTCTCCGGTACAAACCGAGATCGGCATAACATAAGCCCGGTTTACGAAGGGATGTACCGGAGAAAGATGGGCCGAGCGAAACACTGGGCCGAACGCAGCCCATTAGGCCAAGGTCGGTGAGAAGTCTCTCGAAGGAATGGAGGGCTTCCCTGAGCTCGGTCGAAATAGGAAGGTTTCCTAACGGAAAAAGGAAACCTTAGAGAAAAAAGGAAAGGAACCGAGAGAAAAGGAAAGTACTCTCGGTCCCATATCGTCTGAGGCGTGCTTGAAGACCGACTTAGAGGATATATATAAAGGGAGATGAATCGACACCAGAGAACATAAGAGATTCCCGAGAAGACTTAAAGACTGAGAACTCAATACGCTAGCTTCTGAGTCGTCTTAAGTCTTAGTTTGTTATTATCTATCTGAATAACCGAACTCAGTTGTATTTTACTTGATTCAATCTAATAAAAACCGAGTTTCCGATCTAAAAGTACTGTTTTGTCCCTTGTCGATATTTACTTATCAACACTGCTGTTGAAAGTGGGGATAAAAACACAGCGTTTTTTCATCGAGCCATGGCAGCTAGGAGATCCACTAATCAGATACACTACTTGATGGATGACGTCTTGGGCCGCATTGATGATCAGAGTGACATTCAGAATCACTGTTTCAGTTTTTACAGAGACCTTCTTGGTCCGGGAACAATGCCTCTCTCAGATCCTCAGCGTTCTATCATCCGCCAACATACAGGTTTTCGGTGTGATCATGATGCTGTCGCCTCTCTTATAGCCCCCGTTTCTGATACAGACATTATGTCCGAGGTTTTCTCGCTGCCCCTGAACAAGTCGCCGGGGCCGGATGGGTACACGGCCGAGTTTTTCCGAAGCTCCTGGTCAGTTGTTGGGAAAGACGTGATCTCCGCCGTTCAAGAGTTCTACCATCGGGTAAGCTCCTTAAGCAAGTTAATGCAACTCTTATTGCCCTGGTTCCTAAACGCCCTGGGATAGACCGCTTGAAGGACTTCCGGCCAATATCGTGCTGCAACACCATCTATAAGATCATATCAAGAATTCTTGCTAGACGGCTTCAGCAGATCTTGCCTCGGATGATCTCTAACTCGCAAACTGCTTTCCTTAAAGGGCGTCTGCTGGTGGAAAATGTGCTTATGGCTACAGAAATGGTTCAGGGGTTTAATCAGAAGAGAACATCTAGAAGAGGCATGCTTATGCGTATGGTGGACATAAGGAAGGCTTTTGACTCGGTCAACTGGGCGTTCATTCTTGAGATGATGGAAACCGCAGGCTTCCCTCGAAAATTCATAAACTGGATTGAGCAATGTATGACCACCACTAGCATCTCGATAACGGTGAACGGAGGGGTGTACGATTTTTTCAGAGGTTCTCGCGGCTTGAGACAGGGAGACTCATTGTCTCCCTATTTGTTTGTTATGGCTATGGAGGTCTTTGCCAATCTTTTGGAAAGCAAGTTCACGGATGGTTCTATTGACTACCACCCTCTTGGGAGAAACCCGCGAATCACTCATATCTCATTTGCCGATGACGTGATGGGTTTTTATGATGGTAAACCCGATTCTCTCAAAAGTATCATGGCTGTGTTGGATGACTTTGCCAGTTTTTCAGGATTGGGGATGAATGTCGACAAGTCGGCTCAATTCACTGCGGGTCTCAAACCGGCTTAACTCGCAGAATCTACTTCTCTTGGTTTTCTTATTGGCTCATTATCGATTCGATATCTGGGTCTTCCTCTAATGCATCAGAAACTTCGGCAGTCAGAATACTCTCCCCTGATTGATGCTGTTACAAATCGGTTCAACAATTGGTTGACCAAATCCCTGTCTTTCGCAGGCAGGCTTCAACTCATATCTTCGGTTATATATGGCTCTGTCAACTTCTGGATGTCTGCATTTGCTCTCCCGAAAGGTTGCTTGAAAAAACTAGAAAGACTCTGCTGTCGATTTCTCTGGACTGGAGATATCCACAACAAAAGTGGGGTGAAGATCTCTTGGACTCAATGTTGTCTCCCCAGGAAAGAGGGAGGCCTCGGCCTGAGGAACTTCTATGCTTGGAACAAGGTATTCAACCTGAAGCTGGTTTGGTTGCAGTTTTCCGGTAGTGGCTCTCTCTGGGTGGCATGGAACAAAGAACATAGACTAAAACGCCGCTCTTTTTGGTCTTGTGAGGAGACGCATAACTCCTCATGGGTTTGGAAGTTCATGCTAAAGCTAAGACCTTTGGCGAAGAAATTTCTCCGATGTTCAATCAACAATGGTGAGACTGCGTCTTATTGGTATGATCATTGGTGCTTGCTTGGTCCGTTGATTGATGTTGCAGGCTCGGATGGACCCAGGAAACTCGGTATCCCGAGGGAGAGTACAGTCTCGGAAGGATGTAACTCTGCCGGATGGATCCTTCCCAGCCCTCGCGTCAGACTCTCAGTTCTACGTGAAATAAGAGGTATGCTCATTTCTACTCCTGCACCGACTCTTCATGGCGGTATGGATGTTTATACTTGGGAAGCTGGCTCCTCAGGCAACTCGGGTTTCTCTTCGTCTCAAACCTGGGACTGCATTCGACCTTCCGCAGCTCGAGTTCCTTGGAAGAAGGTGGTATGGTTCAAGGGGCACCTGCCTCGTCACGCCTTTCATTTCTGGGTTGCCAACTACGACAGACTCCCGATCCGTTCACGTCTCTACCATTGGGGAATCATCCATTCTGACTTATGCTGTATTTGTAGCCTCCATGCGGAAACTAGAGACCATCTTTTTCTGCAATGTGAGTTTAGCAAACAAGTCTGGAATAAGGTCATGCATCGCCTAGGACAGGACACCACTGCTATTATCGACTGGGATTCTCTCATCAGTTGGCTCTCTCTGGATCACTCCCCGGAATGGAATCTCTTGAAGCGTGTGGCGGCTCAAGCTACATTGGCAAACATATGGAGAGAACGCAATACCAGGCTACACGAGGGCATTTCGATGACGCCCGACTCCATCTTTGTCATGACGGATCGCACGATCAGGGATATCTTATTGGCTCGTATCAGGAGAGGTCTACCGAGTCTCCTATCCACCTGGTTTACTTATAGCTAAGATTTCTAATCTTTAGATATTCTAATTATATCTTTCGGGCTTTTTTACTTATTTTTTGGGCCCGTAACATGTAACCTGCTTCGCCGAGCTTTGTAAGGAACGTTCCGTTTTTTGGTATAATATTTACATTCTATCAAAAAAAAAATTTAAGTAGATAACAAACACTTTACAATTTATAAATATATAAATATATATATAATTTTAAACAAACACTCTACAATGAATGTTTTCAGAGATCATAACATTACTCAAAACGTTTTTTTGGCTCTAAGAAAACGTAGTTCTTAAAGATGACAAATCTAAACTTTTTATAAAAAAAAAAAAGAAACAAACTATGTTATTCCTTTTTTCCCCCCAAAATACAATTTATTTCTTTGAAGATCTCTTATGTACTATTTTTTTTCTTCTGTTTTGGTTGTGGAACTTTGAAGAAAAAATATAAGCCGTGTGTACTTGCGGTTGCGAGATTATAGTGGCAAAGGCTACTGGTCCACCAAGTCAACAGTGGTGTATATGACATGACTTAGTCATACTACATCTCTAACGTGTTCGTATAAATTATGAATCTCCACAGCTTCCTTTTCCATGGTAATTGTAGAAGCTTCTTTTATTGTAGGAACTAAAATCGTCTTTGTACATCTATATACTCTGTAATTCTATTTGATTAAGTAATGAGAATTACTCTTCATACATTTATGCCATTATGGGGTATTCTCGACAAGCTACAATGGCGTGGGATGAGGATAGAAATACCACATTTTTTTATTATTATCTTAGCCTAATATTATTTGGTTCTAGACTGAGTTTTTATCGTGTTTTTTTTTCAATATGATTGCCAATATTATAAATTGTGTCTGTATAAAAATTATTTACATGCATCATGCATGAACAAATTAATAGTTGGTACAGCACTGGTCCAGTTTCAGTATACATTCCAAAACAATTAAGTTGTGCTTCGAAAACAATACCACACACTACTGAAATATTTCTACATTAACTACAACCTAATGGACCAATAGTGAAAAACTGAAATGTTAAAATATATACATAAAATTAAACAAATTAAAATAAATTTCACTATAAAATGCAACTTAATTTTCATCTCTATAAATATTTAGTTTTTCAAAATTTCACTTTCATTTCTCACATTTTATAATTTTCTTAGTTTCTTTAAAATTTGATAGAATGATAATTGTGAAAAAAATTTGAACTTAAAACCTTTCTATAGTTTAAACCAATCGAATGATGATTAAAAATTATATAAGTGTAATAATGTGTTTACTAATATGTATCTATAATATATATGTTCAGGTACTTCAACTTTTCGGTCTTGAATAATAGTTAGTATGATGGGGTATCAATACTTATGGAAAACAATTTTTGAATAATAATTAGAACATCATTACAACTTTTTATTATATGATATATACAACTCACAACACAAATAATTTTTGAAAGCATGGAATATAAATATAACAACTCGCACATAGCGCGAGATATCATCTAGTGTAGTATTAATATCACACAATTAAGGATAATATGTCCAATGTTATATGATGTTATAAATTCAAGACAATTTTAAGTTTCTGAAAGATAATGTTAACTTAAAATGTATCAAAACTATTTTTAATGGTTTGAAATCCAAGTATTTACCAAACTTTTTACAGATCATGACAAATTTGAATATTTTTCTACAAGATTTGCATTAGAATTTTATCCTGTGTTTGGAGACTTATCATATTATGATAATATTTTTTAAAAAATTTTATTGTAAAAGTATATCTATCAAAGATTGAGTTCTATCAGTAAAATTGATCATGTTAGTTATAATTATTGTTTAACTTCTTCTTAATGTCAATTATATAACTATTTTTTATATGGATATATATGTTGAGTTATACATTCTAATATTAATTCTAAATTATGAACTCAAATAGAAATTTGTGTCTTACGGCTTCATTCATCTTTGTATCTTTATATTTTTTAATGTCATATCTGTTTGTTTTTTACAATAGTAGTTTTTTTTTCAAAAAAATTAATATTCACATCTAAATATCATCACTTTTTATTATATGTATGTTCACTTGTATATATTTAAAATAATTGAGAGCTTAAAATACTGGATTTCTCCCGCGATTTCGCGGAGGCTCGAGTTATTATAATAATATTCTACCTGACACATGATCACCTTTCTCTTCTTCCGACAAACATTCCATCGGGTTTTTAACTTTTACACGACATTCTCTGACCTTAAAGTACTACTTTCACTTTTCTTTTACACAATTTTTTTTGCTCTTGCTTCTCCTCCCCAATTCACAGTTATTTGTGTTCGACAAAACAATCAATGTCTGTACTAAACATTATAACTAGAGCGTAGTTATACTAAGTTTTCCTCACCAAAACTAAACGTTTACATTGTTGATACACTTAAAAGCTACACATCATTTTATTTTATTTTTTTAGCATTGTTTACAAATTGTCTAATAGAAAATAAATAGTCTAAGTAACAACAAACACTTTGATTTTCCATTAAACTTCTGAGAAAATCGATTTGAGAGAGAGAACAATAGATATGCCACTCCTTCGCGAAAAACAGTGAGAGTATCAATTTGGCCACTCCTTCGTGAAGAACAGTGAGACTACCAATTTGGCCACTCCTTCGCGAATCTCCTAATAAATTGACTGAATTTTGCTGCCTGCATTGTCCAGTAGCAAGTATCACACATATTGGTGGGTTCCTCCATGGATCCGTATATAACAACATAACTGTGGGGGTAAGTCCATGTTTCCGCAGTGCAAGTTACAAGCTTTGTGAAAAACCAAAGTAACATTTTCTTTAAACACTTGCGGAGGGTTAGCGTTGAAACCCCTCGGGCTTAGATGTTCCATTGTTCGAAGCATTTGTACTGCTTCCGCCCAGGTAATATCTGTCGTAGATGTTAAGCTCACTTCGCATCTGGACATGATGAGGACAAGCATTTTGTGGCAGTATTTACCCATAGAGCATCCCGCTTCCGCTGACTCCTTAATCATAGCCATCCCTGCCTCGATATTACGGTCATAGAAAATAATTGAAAGACCTCTTTCAAATAAAGCCGTTAGATTACCTGCTGCCAAACATCTGTCCTTAAACATTCTCATCCATGCCATATCAAAGACCCAAGGTGTGGGCACGCTTAACAGATCCACGCTCCATAGGAAGATTGGATCTTTGGAGATTTCGTTAAAATCCCTAAGGGCCACTTTAGCAGAACAGTAATCTCGTACGCAATTACTAATTATCTTCTTTAGTATTTCGGTTTTCATCTCGATGGGAAAATTATAAATCCCTACTTGCTTTGCCATTGGAGACGAAATGTGTTTCAGATACTTCTTGGGTCTATGTTAAATAAAAGAGGGCACAACTCCCTAAAAACTCTTGGAGTCGCCGTTGGAAAACGAAACGACACGTCGTTTGTATTTCTTTGTTTCATTTTTTTTTCAAAAATAGTAAAACATCATATTTCCAAATACAATAATCGACTGTAGTTGTACCAAGTAATCCCGAGTAAAACATCACATTTCCAAATACAAGAGTTCAGAGTAACTAAACCACGTTATCACCTACAGCACTTTCAGAGGCACCTGCGGTACTTTCATAGGCACCTGCAGCATTTTAAGCTCCAGCATTTTGACCAGCAGTAAAATAGGAATAAATTCCATAAGATTCAGGGCAACACTTATTATTCGTCTTTGCCTTCTTAGACTTCGGTCGACGCTCTCCAACGGATGGATGCTTTTTGTGCTGTTTTGCCCCCTTCTTTTTCTCGTGTTCCGGGGGCAAAGCACTCAATTGCTTTATATCATCGGGGACAACCCAGTGTGATTTGTGTGGGACTGGATATATCGTTCTGTTATAAGAAAAAGCCCACTACTCTATTAAATAATACTTCAAACACAAGTCCTCTACGTTTATATCCTCTTTATCCAATGACAATTAGCCTTTCCATTACGTGGATTTGGAGAGAGCGTAACAGACGACGACATGGAGAAGATCCGAGCTCACCACAAAGACTAATAACAGATTTGGACAAGAAGATGCGAAACCAGCTTAGCTCGCTTCACAATGTAGGCGACTACAACTATATCAACGGACTTGAAATATGGTTCAACTCCAGAACCTAAAAACCAGTCTTCACTCTCTGTTCTAAAACTTCTCTGCTTTGTTTTATTATTCTACAACTTTAACTCTTTCAGATTTTTGAAAAGGATTATGTAAAGCAAACAGTTTTTTTGAAATATAATTTATCATATTTTTTAAAAAAAAATGTAATTTTCAAAAAGTTTTGAAATTTTTTTTTACAAATTTCCTCGAAAATGGGTCTTGTTTTTCACAAAACCCTCAAAAGACAAAAAAACACAAGAAAGAAAGAGGATAACACAAAACCCCTTTCGTCTTCCAATCCACCTCACATACACAACAGCGATAATGGCGGTTTCTTCTGGGACCTTCTCCACCTTCCTCTGCATCAAACCGGCACCGTTCCGCGTCGGACCGACTCCCTCTTCTCTCCGACTAGCCTCTCACCCGGCTCAACTGCGTGCGGTAACATCTGCGACGGCGTCTTCGGAACCCACAGCAACCAACAAGAGAGTGCCACGCGGCATCATGAAGCCTCGACCAGTGTCTCCGGAGATGCAGGACGTCGTCGGACTATCTGAAATCCCTCGCACTCAAGTTCTCAAGCGTATTTGGGCTTACATCAAAGAAAATGACCTTCAAGTAAACCAAATCTCTCTCTCTCTCTCTCTCTCTCTCTCTCTCTCTCTCTCTCTCTGTCACTCTTGAGTTTGGTTTAGCTTAAGGCTTTGTGGTTGATTTCATCAATCTGTTTCGGATCTTCTTATGTTTGAGGATCCAATTCTAGGGTTTCGGTTAGGAAAATCGAATTGGATAAGGCTTTTTCGACAAATTCTAGAGTTCAAGTTTTCTTGAGATTTGTCCTGATATTAGGAAGCTGAGAGTTTTCTGAGGGTATTCATATTCTTCATACACTTGTTGAGAGTCATGCCTTGCTTGTTAATAATCTACTCTCAATGTACAATCTTGAGCTGGTCTATTAACTAATGAACGTAGTTTCAAGATTTTGAGGTGGTTTTTATTTGTGTATACGATATGTTTATTAGGAGTGAAGATGTTATAAAGTATTGATATCACTGTTTTGGTTCCTTTAGGTAGATAGTTATTTCGTTTGATTTTGAGGGTAGATGTTGATAACGTTTTGTATAGGCAGTTTTAATTGTTTGATTAAGTCTCTGGTTTACATGTTTAGCAATTTGTGGTTTTTGAGGTGACAGATATTCCAACAGATGAGTTGCTTTCATTTTCTTGATTTAAGATTAGAAAGCTTAAACAGGTTTTTGAGTTGGAGGCTGTCTTATTATCTAGTAAACATATTTCAAGATCTTGGGGGTGGTTTTATTTTCTTATATGGATATTTGGTGACCAATTGCTTCAAATGATTTTGGGGGCAGATGTTGATAACGTTTTATATAAGCAGTTTTGATTCTTTTAATGTTTGGCAATGTGCGTGCTTTGAGGTGACAAATATCTTTCTCGGGCCTAAGATCTTGATTCTTTGAATGCTTTTATATCAGTTCGACTTATTTGGGTTTTAGTTCGATCAGAAACACGGTGTGACCATGTAATCTCTGGTCATCTTATTCCTTGAACTTAAAAGTTGAAATAACTATCTCTGTCTATTATTCTTTGAGCTTGTCCATTTCAGAGCCTGGGTACATTTTTCCGCGTGTTTGTAACGTTTTGATCTCTGTTTCTTTCTTGGTATTGTTTCTGTTTGGTTAGGTTCTCAAACTGTTAACTAGACTGACATTTCAATCTAGAACTTTTCGATCTCTTGAGACTCTTGTTCTATTGTATGTTAACTTTACATGAAGCTGTTTTTCTGCAACTTCTAATGTTTATAACAACCTAGTAGCCAAATCTTGGCGTGTTGTTGTCTTAATAAGCTCTTTATTATTCTCCTTGGTATGTCTTTAGGTTCCACATTAACGTAATACAACGAATCAGCTTCATTACCACACTAATTTGATGTTTCACTTACATTGCACATTAACTAAATGACTGGTTTTGTTCTTCAGGACCCACAAAACAAGAGGGAAATATTGTGCGATGAGAAGCTGAAGAAGATATTCGAAGGAAGAGAACGAGTCGGGTTCTTGGAGATTGCAAAGCTCATCGGTCCTCACTTCCTCTGATGGAAATTTCCTCAAAACAATGTTTTCGGATGGTAGCCTATGTTTTGTTTAGCAGTTAGGGCCATGAAAGGTTAATGAAAGTTCGGGTAAGACTTAGCTTAAGATTAGTAAAACTAGTGTTTAAATAGTTTTTGCGAAGAAAGTACCTGAAAGGAGCTGTTTCTATTGTGGCCTTCAATGAATGTTTTGTAGACTTCGCTTCCTAATATTTGCATTCTCGTTTCCATTTCAGAGTATCTACTTATTCTTGTTTATCTGATGTGTAGTATGTACACTCAGGTCACATGCCTTTAATTTAACCTCATATACACTAATTAAAAGTCGTAATAATCTCAGTAGTGTAAAGATTTTTTGTTTATTACTTATTGGAAGAACCACTATTTAAAACTATACCAAATTGGTGTCTCTCTTTCACACAATAGATGTCTCTATGATAAAGCCGATTTGTCCACATCTTTCGCAAAAAAAATAATTTTAAATTATTTATTCTGTCGTATCTCTCTTCATTCTCTCGTATTCTCTGTGGGTTTTTCACATTTTAATGAATTTGGAAATGTCCAAATAATTCTTGTAATTTTTTATAGAAAAAAATCATAAATAGAAATTTGGCCAATGATAGATAATTAAGCGTAGATGAACCAATAAAGAGCGATTTACCAAATTTCGGCCAATGAGATATAAGCAAAACTATCCAATCAGAAATGAGCGTCTAGAAAATTGACTAATCAGGAGGGTGGAGACAAATATTAGGCGCCAAGAATTTATCTAATCAAAAACAGGTTTTGTAGACCATCTTGAAACTATCTTTGACCAGCTTCCTCTCCCAGCGATCGCGACAGAGAGAACGAGAGAACGAGAGATCGTCGAGTCCTTCTTGACATTTTGCTGTACTGATCTGACATTGAAGGCTAATCGAGGTAATTGACATTTCTGTGGTTGGATTTTCTTACCTCGTTGTGATTTTGGGAAGTCGTTGCCCTAAAACCACTATTGGAGATTAAGTTAGATTATTGAATAGAGAATTGTAGATTATGAAAATGGTGATTGGTTGCTAATCGGATGGGTATTTAATGGATTGGAGGTTTAGATGTTATACCGCAGTAAATGAGACTTAGATTAGAATATTTTCCCAGAGTTGGCTATTTATGAGAGGAGGACGAGAGAGAGTAACAATTGGTATCACTTGCGTACAACTGGAAACAATTGAAAACATGGTATCACTTGCATACAACTGGAATGTCCAATTTTTATGCAGTTGAGTATGGTGTATCTGTTAATTTTTCAGGTGATAATGATTACAAATTTATTTTTTGATTACGGGGGATATTATTCAACTTCGGAGGATAAATGGATTTCAGCACCAGCTTCCATGTATGGTGTAATGTTTAAGTCATCAACTTTGGAGGAGATTACTTATTCTGGTTTAGTGGATAAGATATGCACGTAGGTTGGGATTGTCGAATCTTTGAGTAAGCTGAAACTGAGTTACATTTCGGTACTAGTGCAAACTCAGAGACAATTCTATATTTCGAATGATGATGACCTAGCTGTGTTCCTGACCTCATTGGATAGAGAGGGATGCAGAAGTATTATTCCTGTAGAGGTCATCAAAGGTGTTGAAGTTGGAGAGGAATTTTCTAGAGTTGAGAGGGTTAGTTCAGTTGATATCAATTACGGGGGGTTACATTGAGGTAATGGTGGAAATATGATGTTTTTTAGATTCGTGCTGAAGGGAAAAGGCTAACTGTCACCGAGTTAAACATCAGTCAGATTGAATATTGTGTAATCGGAAGCGATGGGATGAATTACACGGTGAACTTGAAAAGTAAAACTTTCTTGTGCAAGTGTTTTGATATAGACAAGTATCCTTGTGTGCATGTCTTAGCCGCACTAGAGCATTACACGAAGCGGCCAGACAGAGAAGAGGATATAAACGTAGAGGACTTGTGTTTGAAGTATTATTTAATAGAGTAGTGGGCTTTTTCTTATAACAGAACGATATATCCAGTCCCACACAAGTCACACTGGGTTGTCCCCGATGATATAAAGCAATTGAGTGCTTTGCCCCCGGAACACGAGAAAAAGAAGGGGGCAAAACAGCAGAAAAAGCATCCATCCGTTGGAGAGCGTCGACCGAAGTCTAAGAAGGCAAAGACGAATAATAAGCGTTGCCCTGAATCTTATGGAATTTATTCCTATTTTACTGCTGGTCAAAATGCTGGAGCTTAAAATGCTGCAGGTGCCTATGAAAGTACCGCAGGTGCCTCTGAAATTGTCTCCCTATTTGTTTGTTATGGCTATGGAGGTCTTTGCCAATCTTTTGGAAAGCAAGTTCACGGATGGTTCTATTGACTACCACCCTCTTGGGAGAAACCCGCGAATAACTCATATCTCATTTGCCGATGACGTGATGGTTTTTTATGATGGTAAACCCGATTCTCTCAAAAGTATCATGGCTGTGTTGGATGACTTTGCCAGTTTTTCAGGATTGCGGATGAATGTCGACAAGTCGGCTCTATTCACTGGGGTCTCAAACCGGCTGAACTCGCAGAATCTACTTCTCTTGGTTTTCTTATTGGCTCATTACCAATTCGATATCTGGGTCTTCCTCTAATGCATCGGAAACTTCGGCAGTAAGAATACTCTCCCCTGATTGATGCTGTTACAAATCGATTCAACAATTGGATGACCAAATCCCTGTCTTTTGCAGGCAGGCTTCAACTCATATCTTCGGTTATATATGGCTCTGTCAACTTCTGGATGTCTGCATTTGCTCTCCCGAAAGGTTGCTTGAAAAAACTAGAATATTGTGTTAGCCTTTTCCCTTCAGCACGAAATATGATGTTTTCCCTTCAGTTAGCTTGCATTGACAGTTTTTCATTTTTTTTACTAAATAAAATTAATTAAATAGTTGAATAATTTTATTCAACTAGCCATTGGAGATAGTCTTAGAGGAAAATAAGAGAGAGAGAGAAATCTTTTATTTTTTATTTTTTATTTTATCTTTAGCAAATAAATTATAAATGATAGAAAAAGAGATATATGTAAATTAGTCAATATAAAAGTTAAGAAAATGTTAGAATAACATAAAATGATACAAAATATAATAAAAAACAGAAAGTGATATGAAGTGTAATCAAGAAAAGTTTCATTGACCTATACCCAAATCCGACCCTAACTATAACTAAATAGATTTTGTACAAATACAGTGGACTCACAAAACTGATTTTCAACCTAGATCTAGGAAAGGCATTGTATAGCATTCTACAACATTATAGTACCTTAAGTAGAGTCAATTTACAAAATTCTCCACCAACGTTCTATGAGTTGTTCGGAGTAGTAGATCTAATGTACTTGTCAGTAATAATAAGTGATTTAGACCCATCATGATTACGCATGAGTTTCACCATCAATTTGATTATTCATTGGTTTATTTCCTATATTTTTATGACTTTATTCATCAGTTTTGGCTTATCTAATGCTGAAATTTCCTCTCAGCATTATAGAAGGCGACAAGCCATACGTTGGTTTTACAGTTTATCATTCTTAATCTTTACACAATATTGATTACATATAATAATATCATTTTAGAATTGACTAAGAAATGATAACACAATATGATTGAAAAACACTTTATATGTACATAATTTGTTAACGATATCTTATTAATTTTGATCTTTACTAAACAAAAGTAATTCAGATTAATTGTGAAGCGAGCTAAGCCGGTTTCGCATCCTCTTTTCCAAATCTGTTATTAGTCTTTGTGGTGAGCTCGGATCTTCTCCATGTCGTCGTCTGTTACGCTCTCTCCAAATCCACGTAATGGAGATC